ATCAAAGAACATACCTTTTTTGATTTATTTATATATTTAACCTGTACATTGTGCTGTACATTTTAGGATTGCTGAACTGACTTATAAATGTACTGTATCTAACCAATAAGTTATGTTGTAAATTCTGGATCAAAAACATACCTTTTTTGATTTATTTATATATTTAACCTATACATTGTGCTGTACATTTTAGGATTGCTGAATTGACTTATAAATGTACTGTATCTAACCAATAAGTTATGTTGTAAATTCTGGAACACGGAAGGGAATTGTGTATTTTGTGTGGATGTATCTAATCAATAAATTTCATTCATTTTAGTATCGCAGATAACTTCATGTTTGTTGTGTTTTTGGAGGTTTCAAGTACTAAGTATATTTACAAAAGTAAAAATTTCAAAAGCTTATGAAAATAACTCTGCAACTTAAGTTACCAATAGTGTGTGAAAAAATAGTTCATAATTAAATTTATACGTATCAGTGTGTTACATTTCACAGAAAATTGTCTTTTAATATGGGCCCGGCATGGCCAGGTGGTTAGAGTGCTCGACTCGCAATCTGAGGGTCGAGGGTTCGAATCCCCGTCCCTCCAAACATGCTCGCCCTTTCAGCCGTGGGGGCATTATAATGTGACGGTCAATCCCACTATTCGTTGGTAAAAGAGTAGCCCAAGAGTTGGCAGTGGATGGTGATGACTAGCTGTCTTACACTGCTAAGTTAGGGATGGCTAGCGCAGATAGCCCTCGTGTAGCTTTTCGCGAAATTCAGAAAACAAACAGACAATCTTTTAATAAAGTTTATGTAATACATTTTGTAGAAAAACCCTTTGCATTATATGATTTGTTAAATTTATTTGGGAAATAATTATGTAAGACTTGTTGTTTCAGTGGAACTGTAGACATAGTAGGTCTGAGGACTTTAATGGACTACATCTGCCTCTTGTAAAAGAGGAGCTTTCTCCTTTTCATTCAACAATCAGTTATAGTCCATTAAAATTCTCAGACTTAATATGTAAGACCTTTTTACACAATGTAGTTACGGTTTAATCATTATAACAAGTATAAGGAAACAAACTATCACTAAATATGTTAGAGCTATGTAGGACTGACTACTGAAGTTGAAAGAAGAAAAAGGAACTAAACAAGATAGGGATGGAAGTGGACGTATCACTTGATCAGCTAGTAATTACGTAGCAGACTAAGCAGTCTTGACTTTACACGGAGAATAAAATCCCTACATTACTGAGTTCCCCACTTTGTCTATCGAAAGCTTAGTGTTTGAATAGGATCTCAGCTTTCATCATTATATCATTCCTTTAGTTAATCGTACAATACTATTTTTA